GGTTTTCTGAACCGGGAAGTGCAGGGTATAAATAAAAAATTATTATTTATTTAAATGGAAATGGATTGTTTTTTTTACAGACTACCAGATTAAAGAAACATGACCGTTATTTGACCGGCCGTGAACCATTTTGACGGGGTTCTGTTTCGTTTCTGTTCTGCAATTAAGTCGCCATGAACAAAATGATTAAATCTGTCTAAACTGGTACATGTGAAAAGCACTATAGATCAATCTTTTGCGTGCTTTTTTTTCTTAAAAAACTTCATTTTCAGGGGACGATAGCACACCCGCCTTCTCCCTCAGGAGAGGCCTTCTTCTTCTTCCCCACTTTGGTCCCAAACAGGGAGAAAAGGCCTCTTCCAAGATGGCGCCTGAGGCGCTAAACCCAAAACTGTGGCCCCGGTATTCAAATTCAAAATCTGTTGCCCGGCCAACCGATCAAACGGTTCACCCACAAATCACCGTTCTTTTCCGTGTATAAGACTAGGTTTTTTCACTCTAAATAATGTTCAAAATCGTGGCGCATCTTACACAATCTCCACCCCCCCCCGCCGCCATTTTCTTAAATTGGAGTCCCCAAAAATAAATTGGAGTCATTTTCTTAAATTGGAGTCTTATAGATGGGGGCGTCTTAATAGATGGAAAGCCGCTTAAGAGAGGCTTAAATTTTGTTAAAAGAGAATAAACCAAACACCACAATGGCCGCTATCCCCCCCCTCCCAGAGCTTTTCCGCTCGCAAAATGGCCTCCGCTCACCCCAAGTCGCCCCTCAACTTGGGGTTTTTTGAGGACCCCCCCCAAAAAACATGGCCTCCTCCCGCCCCAAAAAAACCCTAGAGGGAATCCCCTCTAGAAAAATGGCCCCAAATTGGCCTCAGTGAGGAGGATTTCATGGAGAAGGGGGGCTCACTTTTAGTATTTCTTCCCCCCCAAAAAAGCCCCAAATTCCTTCTCACTGCCCCCTCACAGGAGATATCCCCTCCAAAACCTCCCCCAAAACCCTCCCCAATAATTTAACCCGACACAGAAGCCCCTCTTTGCCCCAATAACCCCCCAAATAAATCAAAATCTCTCTCCCAAAAGATTAAACGTCCCACCCAAATCTCCCCCCCCCGAAATGTGAAGGAGACCCATCCCGCCTATCCCATAATAATAATAATAAATTTTATTTATACACCGCCCTAACACCAATAAAATCACAGTAAAAACATAATGGGGGGGGGAGAACCAATTTAAAATGCAGGTTAAAATGCTATTTAAAATGCAGCCTCCACAGGCCCCCCCCAGGTGTTTCCACACAAGCCCCTTTCTTGCCTCCCCCCGTTAATTCGGATTAATTGGGGAGGCGCTGAGGAGGAGATGGGGCTTTGCAGTGTCCCATAGCTAGCTTGGGGGGGGGTGAAGTGGAGGGGGGTATCCTATGAAAAATGTGCAAGGAAGGAAAGCATTAACTCCAGCAGTTGGGGGGGGGTTGCAGAAAAATGGGGTGCATGGAGGGGGGGCGCTGAATGCATCGCAAAAGAGCTGCTTTGGTGCAAAGTTGGAGGGTGCAAAGGCGCCTGCTGCAAATTAAGAGGGGGGGGATGGAGCAGGTTCAATGCACCTCTTGGGGTGCAAAGGAGGGGTGCATTTGGGGGGTGTTATGGGGGGGGAACCTGCTTGCAAACACAGCTAGGTAGACAGCTAAATGGGCGAGGGTGCAAAATGGATGCAACAGGGAGAAGAGGCGGTGGGGGCGCAAGAGGGTTTGATACCAAGGGGGTAATTCATGGGGGTGTTACCTTGCACCCCACGTTGCAAGGGAAGACCATGCATGCTTTGAGTGCTTTATTTATTTTATATATTTATTTTATATATTTATTTGAGTGGTTTGTTTTTTTATTGCTCTCCCACCATCTAGGAACCCCGCTTCTAATTCCCCCCACCAAGTTGCAAATGAATTAAAACCCAGCTGCTTCTCCACGTCTTTGAGTGAGGATCCACTTTGAAGCTAATTGGGGGGGGGGCGAGGAAGAAATCTGCAACGGCGACCAATCCGGTAAAAGAAAAGTCAGTTTTATTGCACGCAGCCAAAGGCTGCCGCAACGTACACAGAATCATTCAAAAATTAAAAGAAAATATACTGGATTAATACAAAAAACATGTATGTTATCAAGACGTTACCTACTCTAAACAGAGCTATAAAAGTACCTTAATATACAAATTAAGACACTGAACAATAAAATTTATAAGCTGAAATTATCACATGGCCAGTGTTAAAAAATGATGTTAATTAATACAGTGGTAAAAGAAAAGGAGGGAGATCTCACAGGCTCCTCCCACCCCGCTTGGGGATCCATTGCAACGCCTTTAAGGATCGCAGCCCGAGTATATGTGTCTTTTAATAATTTGGAGGGAGTAAAAAGCAGGATTAAGATTTGCGCTGCAGATTTGGAAGGGAAACTCGCCATCCTCACCCCGGGGGGGGGGATCTACTTGGTTTCTCAGGTCAAGCCAGGTGCCTTGGGTTTATTTATTTTATTTTGCACGTGCAAAATTTTGCACGCCCCGGTTGCTCCAGAGGACGCTTTGCATACGGATCCCGTGCAAACGGATTCAGAAGCAGTTGCTCGCCACGTAATCCTTGTTGTGCGTGAGGTTGTTTTACCTGCTAAAAGAGGTCGATGCCTTGCCCGGGCTCACAAACGGTCTCTGCAAAATGCAGTGAAACGGTTTTGAAACGTAAACGCGGGACTTTAAACCGCTGCAAAGAGGAAATGGCTCCACTTTGGTCCTCGCAAGTTGCGCCTCTAGGCGGCGTATCCTAAGCATGTGATCACTGCAAACCGGAGTTTAAAGGGGTGGCGGCCGGTGACCTATTAATTGCAACACCATCATGTAACATTCAGGTTTGCAAACCTTGGCAGTTGCTGGCTTGAGAGCGCTTGCACTAAACAGAGATTTTTAAAGAATTGAAAGAAAGTGTCTGCTTGCTTAAATAAATTAATACTTCTGAGAATAATAATAATAATAATTTGTACCCCGCCCATCTGGCTGGGTCTCCCCAGCCACTCTGGGCGGCTTCCAACAAATATTAAAAATACATTAATATATATATATATGACTTTCAAGTTCCAACATGGCAGCTCCCAGTGTGGTCAGTTTTTGCTTTCATTAGGGGGGGAAATGTTTATTTGACTGAGAAAAGTGGAAATCCCACCAGGAGGTGCAAAAGGTGATCTCAAAGCTTGCTCTGTGTTTGCAGAAACTGGTATAGTGGAAGATTTATTTCATTTATATCATACATTTCCTTCAAGTAGGATTAACGTGGTTCTTCCCCCCACCCTCTGCATTTTACCCTCACTTTATGCTCACAACCCTGCAAAGGAGTTTAGGCGGAGTGAGAGTCTGGCTGGCTCTCTCGCACATGAATTTGTCTAATTTTCTCTTAAAGCCATCCAGGTTGGTGTCCACCGCTGGCTCTCGCGGGAGCGACTGCTGAGGCTTTGATAAAAATAAAATTAACGAAAACAACTGATAACTTGGTGGCCTGTAATGGTTCCTCCAAATGGTTCCACTGCTTGAGGTGGAAAGATTGCCTTGTCTAATACAGTGGTACCTTGGTTCTCTGCAGGGATGCGGGTGGCGCTGTGGTCTAAACCACAGAGCCTAGGGCTTGCCGATCAGAAGGTCGGCGGTTCGAATCCCCGCAATGGGGTGAGCTCCCGTTGCTCGGTCCCTGCTCCTGCTAACCTAGCAGATCGAAAGCATGTCAAAGTGCAAGTAGATAAATAGGTACAGCTCCGGTGGGAAGGTAAACGGCGTTTCCGTGCGCTGCTCTGGATCGCCAGAAGCGGCTTAGTCCTGCTCTCCGGCTCCCTCGGCCAATAAAGCGAGATGAGCGCCGCAACCCCAGAGTCGGCCATGACTGGACCTAATGGTCAGGGGTCCCTTTACCTTTACCTTACCTTGGTTCTCAAACACTTTGGTTCCCAAATGCCAAAAACCCAGACGTAGGTGTTCCGGTTTTCAAACGTTTTTCGGAAGCTGAACGTCCGATGCGGCTGCTGGCTATTATTTCAGGGGCATCTGCACCAATCAGAAGCCATGCCTTGGTTTCCGAACATTTCAGAAGTCAAAAGGACTTCCAGAACAGATTAAGTTTGGCGCTTTTATTTTTGCTCTTTATTTTGCGTTTTTGTTTCTGAGGCCTTTTAGTTTAATTTGTTTTTGTGACAGTGTGGAACCCAGTTCAGCTACTGATTGATTGACTGATTGTGTGACTGCGGAAATGGATAAAAGCCGCCCATCCAAACAATGACTATCATCCGTGCAGGTAAGGGAAAAAAATAATTTTAATTTTTATCATCAACAAAACTATCTTATTTATTTTATAGTACAGTAAATTGATTATTGCTTTCATTTTATGGAGCCATGGTCTCGTTAGATAGTAAAATCCATGTTAAATTGCTGTTTTAGGGGTTGCTTTTAAAAGTCTGGAACGGATTAAGCCGTTTTGCATTACTTCCTATGGGAAAGCGCACCTTGGTTTTGGAACGCTTTGGTTTTGGAACGGACTTCTGGATTAAGTTTGAGAACCAAGGTACCACTGTAGTAGAGCCTAGGGAATTCTATTAAAAGAACACGCACCAGAGCAAGTATCCATTCCTAAAGTTTTTATTTTGATTTTATCTGCTTATAGCCTTTTTTCCGCCTTGCAGAATTCACATCTCTGAGGCATTCCCAAAGTAAAGGAAGGATTGAACTCTGATTAATAAGAATACACACAGAGGCTTGAACCAGCAAGACTCTGGGAAGGGTGCTTATAATAATCTGTGTCTCCACCCTCCGGCCCAGGTCGTTTTATTCACAAAAGAACTTTTTACAGAGTGCTCGTAAGAACCAATCAGATTTCTTCTGAGCGTTTCAACAAACCCCACGTGCGGACAAAGTCAAACCACAAACACTAGTTAAGCATGCATACTTTTGGAGTAAATGAATGAAAATTCCATCGAGTACTACACATGATAAGAAGGGTGGCCAGGAAGACAGCGATCATTATCACCTTCAGGTGAAACCTGTTTCCTGGCCCTAAGATTAACATCCTGAGATTAACATATCAGAAAAGCTACATCAAAGAAACTGCCCACTGTCTTTGATGACCCAGGATGACCCAGGCGAAGTAACTGGGCTGTGTACAGGCTTGTGGGATTTGATCAGAAATTATTGTCAGTGTATCAAATGCATTCATCGTGGACACCGTGGCTTGATGCATATTTTATAATTCCTCATAGTAATCCCACCTGACCCCACACTCTGAATATTTGCACTCCTACACATCTCTGCCTGCCTGGAGTCAGGGACAGGGGTTGCGTGGGAACTTCTGGCTGGTGGGAAAATAGAAAACCGTCCTCTCGCTCCTGCAGGGCTTATAAGGGGAGATGTTGTAGTCGGAGTCTTCGATGCAGCTGGAGGAGAAATTGCTGTGGAGCGAAACCTTTATTTGCACCAATATTTGACGCCCCTGCAAAGAGAAGAAAAAAAAAGATTTGAGAAGAGGAGGGGTACCGTGCTATATTAGAAGCAAAAAAACTTTTGATGAATTGGAAGAGCCGCAAAAAGATTGGATTGATAATATGGACAGATTAACTGCATACGAACGAATTGCATGTCGACACAAAATAAGAACGGATAAATATGAAGAAATCTGGAACGAATATTTAAGCGATAAGGCGGATAGTGGGGTGAAGTAGGGGGAGAGGAGAGCGATCGGAAAATATTGTTTAAAAAGGTGTAGTCGTAGGTATATCCGTGTATTCAAATCTGAATTGTCAAATTGTGTTGTTATTGTTTTTGTTGTATATTTCTTTTGCGGTTGATGTTTGTATCGAAAAAACCATTAAACAAATTAACCCTTGAACACTTCATAGCTAAAGAAAAGGTAACCCACCTGGACGTCGGTCACGCACTGGAGTTCATATTGGTCTCCCAGGACGGGCCGCAACACAGTCACAAAGGTGCTGAGCTGAGAATGAGAATTGCAGGCAGGATGGGGCAGAGAACTACCGTTAGGACATATACAGGAAGCTGCTACGCCATTGGTCCACCCACATCAGTGTTGTCTACACAGGCTGCCAGCAGCAGCTCTCTGGGGTTTTCAAGCTAATCGCTCCCAAGCCTACAATCGGATGCTGGGAGTTAAATTTGGGGTCTTCTGCATGCAAAGTGGGTGCAGACAGACAAGGCTTGAGATTCCAAGCAGGTGGGTAGAAATATGTCATTTGCAGCCACCCAAATCCCAATATTGGATTAAATGTTGGGTATGTTTAAATGCATGCAAAGGGAACTGGCACCCAGTCATAGCTGTCAACTTTTCCCTTTTCTTGCGAGGAATCCTATTCAGAATAAGGGAATTTCCCTTAAGAAAAGGGGAAATGTTGACAGCTATGGCCCCATTGGATGGGGGCAGAGTTTGCTCCCATCACAAGCCCCTTTTGCAGGGGTTCTTAAACCTGTGATCCGTGGTCTGCCTCACCGGGTCTGTAAACCAGGCACACCCCAAAATTATTTTCCCGGCACAAAATACCGTATTTTTTGCTCTAGAAGACTCACTTTTCCCCTCCTAAAAAGTAAGGGGAAATGTGTGTGCGTCTTATGGAGCGAATGCAGGCTGTGCAGCTATCCCAGAAGCCAGAACAGCAAGAGGGATTGCTGCTTTCGCTGCACAGTGACCCTTCTTGCTGTTCTGGCTTCTGAAATTCAGAATATTTTTTTTCTTGTTTTCCTCCTCCAAAAGCTAGGTGCGTCTTGTGGCCTGCTGCGTCTTATAGAGCGAAAATTACGGTAATTGTGCGTTCTTCTGGGAAGCCCTGTCGGGTGATCAGATGCATAATTCTGTAGAAAAGGCAGCACCCCACATTTTTGGCAATTTGCATTTTAAAAAAATTGTCGCTTCACGCTTAACAACTAAAAAGCAATAACTGAAGGGGGGACCCAAATATATGGAGTCATTTGTTCCTCAAACCTCAGAACACTGCATCCGTATCTTATGTCAGCCTTGTGCCCTGTTTTGAACTACATATCCCATCATCCCATAACTATTGGCCATGCTGGCTGGGAATTGGAGTCCGTATCGTCTGGGGAGCACCAGCTTGAGGGTGTCTAGGTTCAATAGGGGATTAGTGGTACTTCTAACCCCCCCTCTTTTGAAAGCTGAAGAATCTGAAATATTTACAACATTTTAATTCCTGGCAATGTCATATCACATCTCCATGCCCACCAGCTTTTTTTATCCAGACCTCCTGAGACCCGGTTGGGGGTTTTTTAAGAAAGCTGGTGCATCTGAATATTTGGCCCTGAGGACTTTGTGTGGCTTCCTCACTCTGGAGTCTTAGTCTGTGTAAACACTATACCTTTAAAGCACATTTAAATAAAAATAATTATTTCCCTCAAAGAATTCTGGGCACTGTGGTTTAACCCTCCCTGAATTACCATTCAAAGTAACCCTTATTAAACTACAGTGCCCAGAATTCTTTGAGGGGAAGATTGTGCTTTGAAGAGATAGTGCGTACACAACCTTTCCTGTGAATCTTTTCTGTGAACTGCCCTGAGACCTCCTGGGATAGGGTGGTGTAGAAATTCAAATAATAATAATAACAACAACCACCACCACCTTAATAGACTTATTGCAATTTAAATAAAAAAATGTATAGTAAAATGGGATAGATATAAAACATAGGTTCAAAAATACAGTAAAGGTTCGTTATCTATGCTAGCATTTGATAGATGTTGGAGAGAGACTGAGTTGAGAAATAAGATCAAGAGCACATATTGTTATAGGAATGTATTAGATAAAATGTAAAAGAAATATACAATAATATGAGTACATTCATTTGTAAAAAAAAGGAATATACAATGGGATAGACAGGAAGCACAATGTGTTGGTACATATCCGATTATGGGGGGAAATTGGTCTTTGTTTTTTCTCTTTGTTTTTCTTCTTTTTTTCAGGTATATAAAGTTTGTATATAATCTTGGTATACACGCTGGAAAATATAGTATAATAAGCTCTGTAATGTAATATGACAATGTTTACCAATGTACAGTGGTACCTCAGGATGTGAACGGGATCCGTTCCGGAGCCCCGTTTGCATCCCGAAGCGAACGTAACCCATGTCCGTGCGTCTGCGTAGGTCGCGTTCCGCGCATGCGCATGGCGTCATTTTGACCGTCTGCACATGTGCGCACGGTGAAACCCGGAAGTAACGCGTTCCGTTACTTCCGAGTCGCCGTGGAGCGCAACCCGAAAATACTTATCCTGAAGCGTATTTATCCCGAGGTATGACTGTAGTATAGTAATGTTAATAAATAAAACGGGGGGGGGGATAAAATAAAATAAAACTGTAATGAGGACCCAGCTATTTTATGGCGGCCTTCTGTAACCCGCCTCCCTCTCCTCCCCAATTTCTCAGATCTCCAGGGAAACAAAAAATAGGACGGAATAGGTACCTGGTAGCTCTGGATGCAAGATGGGGTGATGGCTGCTCTTTGAAAGGCGCTGTGTTCAGAAAGAGAATGTAAAACAGGGTCATTTAGCTACAGCAGCAACTCCTGCCCTCCCCTATAGGTAAAGTGACCCCTGACCATTAGGTCCAGTCGCAGATGACTCTGGGGTTGTGGCACCCATCTCGTTTTATTGGCCGAGGGAGCCGGCGTACAGCTTCCGGGTCATGTGGCCAGCATGACTAAGCCGCTTCTGGCAAACCAGAGCAGCGCACGGAAACGCCATTTACCTTCCCGCCGGAGTGGTACCTATTTATCTACTTGCACTTTGATGTGCTTTCGAACTGCTAGGTGGGCAGGAGCAGGGACTGAGCAACGGGAGCTCACCCCGTCGCGGGGATTCAAACCGCCGACCTTCTGATCAGGAAGCCCAAGAGGCTCAGTGGTTTAGACCACAGCGCCACCCGCGTCCCTTGCCCTGCCCTATAGACCACTTGAAAACTGAAGGTGATCTTGGTGCGCCACTTAATTATTTTTCTGCCTGTGGTAGCCATTGCAAGGTGCACTGTACTAGATGCCGTTTGGGTTTTAGTTGTGTTTTATGTACATCTTTCCCACCGAATCCAAATTGCGATACACCGCACTGCCGTCTCAGCTCACCTGTCGATGTTATATTTTGTGCGCAGGAAAAGGGCGGCTCGGAAGTATTTGTCGGGAGAGCTGAGCGCTTCCACGCAGCCGGCGCAGCTCCCGTGTTTCTGCCACTCTTTCTCCCTGTGTGGGAGGAAGGAGTAAAACAACCGTTGGCAGGCGCACCCAGGATCTCTCTACCTGAGCCTTCCCCAACTTTGCCCCACCAGATGTTTGGGACTATGACTTCCATCAGCCCCAGCTAGCGCACGTCCCTTCTCCAACCCCAGCCCCCTCCTCTGTTAAGCCCCCTGCCTTGGTTACCAGAACTGGAAGTTGCTCAGGTTGATGAAGGATGGCCAATGCTCGTTCAGTTCAGACGTCAAGTCCTGCAGGAAAGGAAGGTGGTGGGGAGTGTTAGTATTCCTGTTCCGTGATCGCAGTCATGGGATTGTTGTCTTTCACATGACGGTGTATGTTTTGACTCCACTGAGCAGGAAGTGACGGAGACAGGATGTTTGTGTTCCTGTGTTCCGTGAAGGGGGACTATTGTCCTTTGTTCTTTTTCTCTTTGCTGAGATCATTTTCCGAGGCCCTTCTTCATGTGCCTCCTCCTTGAGAGGTCCAGAGGGCAGCATCAGAGAACAGGGCCTTCTCTGCAGTGGCTCCCCGTCTGGGGAATGCTCTCCCCAGCGAAGTTCACCTGGCACCTTAATTATACACCTTTAGGCACCAGGCAAAAATGTTCCTTTTTAACCAGGCCTTTGTTTGACCTGATGGACATCCTATACCCTTTTAAAATGTGGCTCTCTTGGGGGGGGTGTTATTGGGTTATTGTTCTTATTTTGATTTTATATACAGTGGTACCTCGGGTTACAGACGCTTCAGGTTACAGACTCCGCTAACCCAGAAATAGTACCTCGGGTTAAGAACTTTGCTTCAGGATGAGAACAGAAATCGTGCTCCGGCGGTGCAACAGCAGCGGGAGGCCCCACTAGCTAAAGTGGTGCTTCAGGTTAAGAACAGTTTCAGGTTAAGAATGGACCTCTGGAACGAATTAAGTTCTTAACCCAAGGTACCACTGTATTGTGATCTTTTCTGTGAACCGCCTTGAGACCTCTGGGTATAGGGCGGTTTGTAAATTAAACCAGCAAACCACAAGGGTCGCCTTGTCCTGCAATGCAGAAATCTTTCGCCTAGGGTGGGATTCGAACCCAGAAACCTAAAATTAAATGTCTTGCGCTCTACCCGCTGAGCTGTCCCAGGTCATTGGAAGCCGGGCCACCAAAGCCGAAATTTACAGCAAAAGGGTTCTACTCACCACCAGGTCGGAGGGGAAGAGGTATCTATATGGGCAGCAGCCCATGATGTTGCTGGGCCTGTGGATTTAAAGGGCAAGAAGAGGAGGTGAAGGAGGCTGGAACCTTCTCTATTCCAGCAGGCAATTAAGAATGCATCATATTTTCTTAATTTAACTTTGTTCTATGGTTTTAATTGTATGGTTTTAATTGTTGTAAGCAGCTCTGATATTTTTAAGTAGCATGTGTGCGTGTGTGTGTGTGTGTGTGTGTGTGCACGCATGTACACACACACACACACTTAATATCAGGGCCAGATTTAAGTTTGATGAGGCCCCAAGCTACTGAAGATAATGGGGCCCTTTATATGTCCAGATGTCCTTTGTCAACAACAGATGGTCGCTGTTTTTTGTGTTCAATAGATGCTAGATGGTAATTGATGGACCTCATAGGTATCTCAAGCCATTTGCACATGTTGCCCTGCAACCAGTCCATGCAGAATGTGGGCACCCTATATATAGAAAGGAGCAAACCAGGGATACTTTAGGAAGCAGGGTAGCAGGCGGGGCCCATGACTTGCACCACAGGAGCCTACACAACACAAAACACGGTTGCTGTACGTAGGTTTTATTTTATTTGTTTTTTATCTTATATTTTGGAAATGTACATCCAGGGTTTTCCCCCCCTTTAAATTTTCTGGGGGCCCCCAAGAGAGTGGGGCCCTGAGCTATAGCTTGTTCAGCTTATACGTAAATCCGGCACTGCTTAATATATATATTTAAGTAAGAAAATAAATACTTCACTTAAGTCCAAGCAATAAATGCATGCCTCCCATACCAGCCCAAATGAGATCGCCTCACCATAATCCATGAATGGTCCAGGTGTTTGCGTCTTTCGGCAGGACGCACTCAAACCTCCTTCCCAGAGCCTACAAGTGCGTGACAGAAAGCAGAAGATGGGTTAGATTCCCAAAGGTACAGCATAGCCACAAACCTCATTTCCCCCTTTGTGTGTATGTGTGTGTGTGATTCGTAGAATTGTAATGTTGGAAGGGGCTCCAAGGTCATCCAGTCCAACCCAGGAATCTTTCACCCAACATGGGGCTTGAACCCACGACCTTGAGATTAAGAGTCTCATGCTCTACTGGCTGAGCTATCCTCTATTTATTAATACAGCTTAACAATTAAGGGACGTGGGTGGCGCTGTGGGTTAAACCACAGAACCTAGGGCTTGCCGATCGGAAGGTCAGCTGTTCGAATCCCCATGATGGGGTGAGCTCCCGTTGCTCGGTCCCTGCTCCTGCCAACCTAGCAGTTCGAAAGCACGTCAAAGTGCAAGTAGATAAATAGGTACCGCTCCAGCGGGAAGGTAAACGGCGTTTCCGTGCGCTGCTCTGGTTCGCCAGAAGCGGTTTGATCCTGCTGGCTACATGACCCGGAAGCTGTACGCCGGCTCCCTCGGCCAATAAAGCGAGATGAGCGCTGCAACCCCAGAGTTGGTCACAACTGGACCTAATGGTCAGGGGTCCCTTTACCTTTACCTTTAAAAATTAAGCAGAGGTTTGATTTCATTTCTGTTCTCTTCAACTCATATTTCTCCTCCTGCTATCGGGCCAAGTCCAAACGCCATTGAACTACAACTCCCATCATCCCTTGCCATTGGGCATGTTTCCTGGGGCTGATGGGAGCTAGAGTCCCCCCACGGCAGCTTCTTTTAACCCCTTCTCACGGATGGCGCTGTGGTCTAAACCACTGAACCTCTTGGGCTTGCCGATCAGAAGGTCGGCGGTTCGAATCCCCGCGACGGGGTGAGCTCCCGTTGCTCTGTCCCTCCTCCTGCCAACCTAGAAGTTCAAAAGCACACCAGTACAAGTAGATAAATTGGTACCGCTGCGGCGGGAAGGTAAACTGCGTTTCCATGCGCTCTGGCACTCGCCACTGTCCTCCGTGCGCCAGTAGTGGTTTAGTCCTGCTGGCCACATAACCTGGAAAGCTGTCTATGGATAAACACCGGCTCCCTTGGCCTGAAAGCGAGATGAGCACTGCAACACCATAGTCGCCTTTGACTAGACCAGGGGTCGCCAAGGTTTACCTTGCCTGGGCTGGTTCATTCTAGCAGAGATCCCCCCGTAGGCTGGATTGCGCATGAGCGCGCGCACCAGCGATTTCCAGTGTCTGTGCAGATGTGATTTCTGGTTCTGCGTCTGCGCAGATGGGATTTTCGGCATGTGCGCACACAGAGACATGATTTCCGGCGCCGCGAAAGCAAGTCCCCGTGCCGCACTGTGCCGGTTTAGCGCAGCGTGCAGGGACTCGCCGAGCGGGCATCTTGGTTCGGGGGCAGCTCGTGGGCCGGTTAAACAACCCCAAGGGCCGTTTTGGCCCATGGGCCTTAAGTTTCTGACCCCTGGACTAGACTTAACCGTCATGGAGTCCTTTACCTTCACCTGTTGCAACTGCTCTGCAGCTGTCTTATTTAGCCAGGTAGTACACAGAGATGTTAACTTCAGAAATGGAGTCTCCCCGAATGAGAAACTCTTACTCACTATGCAGAAGGTTCCAGGCCACATCTGGACAAAGCTCATGCATCGCCAAGGACAGGACCTGCAGTCAAAGAGAGAGAAGTCTCCCAGTTTCTCCTTCTTTCCAAAGTCTTCAGATGAGCTCATTTTCGAATGAAAGGGTTTAAGGTCAGTAAGAAAGAGGAGGATTGGTTTGAGAGGATATTGAATGATTTGGGTAGGTTTGAACAATTTGGGGCAATTAAAATGTTAAAAGTTAAATAAACCTTGTGGAGGGAGGAGTGTTAAGGTATACAGAAGTGTACATATGGTTGATTTGAATAAGTTATTATTGAATATTATTGAATATGTATATTAATGAATATGTATATTATTGAATATGTATACCCAATGTATCAGCCGCCTGGTGGGTTTCACTGTTTGTGTTTTGGTGGTTGGGAATATATATATATATATATATATATATGCTTTCGTAGATTTTCACGGGTACAGGAATGCAGGTTTTGGTGTCCTCGGGTGTCTTCCCGTGTAAAAGTTGGGGTGTCTAGGCTATATATATTTAAAAAGAAAAGATCAGCTCATTCTTCGCACCCTCACTTCCACCAAAAAACTGGTACCGATTCACTGGAAAGATAATACAATGACCCCCCCCTTTGATCAAGGGATAGAAGATGAATGGATTGCTTTTAGATCCAGATTGTTTATGGATAAATGCAATAAGAATGCATTTATTAAAAAATATTACTTGTTAATAATTGTGTCCTCATTGGAATAATCACCTTACTTATATACCTGTATATGGTATTACAGTTTCATGCACCTTTCTTTCAATTTATTTGTCCACTGACATTTTTCAATAAAATATAATTAATTAATTTTTTTTAAAAAAGATCACTTCCTAACACTTATTTACCAGTTTGCGGTTTTATTTATTGAATTTGTTAGTCTCTTTATCTTGCCCAGGGTGACTTCCAACCAACCTTTTCTTTTAGTAAAAACTTTCACTTTTAGTATATATATAAAAAAAAGTCCTCGTGAAAAATTTTAACGTAAATTTCTCATTAAATACACATTTTTGCAAGCCGTTTCACCTAACATGTTCATCTACCTTATTTTTATTTCATAACATTTACAGTATTTTTCCATGTATAACACACCCCCATGTATAAGATGTCCCCTATTTTGGAGATTAGAAAATGGGGGCAGATTGCCCCCCTGTATAAGACTACCCCCCTTTTTTAACATGATATTTTAGTAAAAAGAAAACCTAGTCTTATATATAGAAAAATACAGTATATACTACTTGATTGTGTTGAAAACAAAAGAAAACCTCAAAGCAGTTTACAAAAAGAGCAAAACAATACAACTATCAGTAAAATAAAAACCACTATTTAAAAGATTTAAAAAAATAATTAAAACCGGGTAAAGGTAATGGTAAAGGGACCCCTGACCATTAGGTCCAGTCGTGGCCAACTCTGGGGTTGCGGCACTCATCTCGCTTTACTGCCCGAGGGAGCCGGCGTACAGCTTCCGGGTCATGTGGCCAGCAGGACTAAGCTGCTTCTGGCGAAACAGAGCAGCGCACGGAAACGCCGTTTACCTTCCCGCCAGAGCGGTACCTATTTGTCTACTTGCACTTTTGACGTGCTTTCTAACTGCCAGGTTGGCAGGAGCAGGGACCGAGCAACGGGAGCTCACCCCGTCATTGCGGGGATTCGAACCGCCAACCTTCTGATTGGCAAGTCCTAGGCTCTGTGGTTTCACCCACAGCGCCACCCGCATCCCTAATTAAAACCAACAATCAACGAAAAACAGATGAAAACACGTCATCATTCTACATCTCTGCGTAGGCTTGTCTAAACAAAAATGCTTTTATCAGGTGCTGAAAAGAGTACAGTTTTATGTGTGCTTTAATACCCAGTTTTGCTTGGAGAACTGTATTGCAAAATTCAGAGAAGCACAAAATTCTCATGACAGCTGTGTTCCAGTTTGCATGTTGTTTTGGGAAGCGTGAATCAGGTTTTGCATTAAAACGCAAACCGAAATTCTCCGTCCGTCCCCACCTGTAATGCAGAGACTGAGAGTCCACAAATTCATCCCGTCCCGCTTTCTGCCCATCCTCTCTCACCTTTGCTCGAGGTTCTACGTACCTAGAGTTCTCCACCTTGGCCTGCTGCTGCCTCCAGAGATCCTCAGGGCGAACCAGCAACCAGGAAAAACTCATGCAGAATAAACCCAGAGCGACGGAATTGGCTGCCATCATACCTGCAAGCAAAGCAGAGCTGATGAAGAAAGGAGAGGAAAAACAGCAAGGAGAGGAACCCAGTCGCTCTGTCAACGTGCAACCCCAGGTATAGAAACCCTCAAGTAGGGTTCAGTAATCCCAATGTCTGATGACAAAAACATTGGCTAGGTTGTTTTCAGTCATCAAGGTGTCATAGCTCAGCCACAGAACTTAAGCTTCAGTTCCAGTATTCCTAAATTAGGCTAAGAAAAAACCCAGCAGGGCCTCTGCCTGAGCTCAGTTGAATCAACTACCTGACTTTGTATAAACCAGCTACCTAAGCTGTCCCAGCTTGGGGTTGCACAGCAGCAATGCACATGCCCTGATACGATGTCGCCCTTTCAGTATGAGAGCCAGACACCGATCTGGTGTTTAAAAGGAGAAGGACGGGGCTGGTTTCACTTCCCTGTGCGATGACTGAGAAGTAAAGACTCAGCTCCTCGTGGAGTTGCAGATTGCAGAACGATTGCTTTGAGCAGACCAACTTGGGCCGCTGTAGGCAAGTGCAGACTTTAGGGTTTCACAGAACTCTTTATCAAGGAGATCACCAGTGTTGAAGCGGTGATTCTTCAACATCAACTTCGTTGGATTGGTCATGTTGTTCGGTTGCCTGATTTTCATCTTTCAAAGCGACTACTCCTTTTCAAACTTAAAAATGGAAAGCATAATGCTGGTGGTCAACAAAAGAGGTTTAAAGACTCTCTCAAGGCAAATCTTTAAAAATGTAGTATAAACACTGACAACTGGGAAACACTGGCCTGCGAGTGCTCCGATTGGAGAACAGCCTTGACCAAAGCTGTCGTGGGCTTTGAAGACACTCAAACTCAGGATGCAAGGGAGAAACATGCTAAGAGGAAGGCACGCTTGGCAAATCCACACCGGGATCAACTCCTGCCCGGAAACCAATGTCCCCACTGTGGAAGGACATGTGGATCCAGAACTGGCCTCCACAGTCACTTACGGACTCATTGTTAAAACCGTGTTCATGGAAGACAATCTCACTCAGCTACGAGGCATCACCAAAGAAGGAAAATAAGACATGGACAAATGTTCTGACTTGGTATAAGGCAGTTTTCTATGTTCTAAGTGAGGTGGGTGGGGTTGCCCTTGTGCCTTTACTTTCTGCACGAAAGCTAATTTCTAAAGACAATGGGTATGTTGGTGTTAGAAGAGCACCAGGCCTAGTAGCCACCAGCCATCAAAGGCAGTTCACCTAAACCCTATGGATCATCATTTAGTGCGAGGCTATGCAAAAATCTAGAAGGGAGGGTGCTCACTCCTGTGGGGGTGAGTTCCACAGTTTAAATAAGCTGTGGGTGAAGAAGGGCTTTCTTTTAGCTGTCCCGAACCTCCCAACGTTCCATCTTCATAGGATGCCCCAAAATCCCAAGGGCTACGAGAGAGGGAGGGAAACTTCTCTGTCTGCTTTTATTGTGCTTTGCCGTGGAAAACCTGATCCCAGAATAAGGACCCATTCATGGCCAGATTTAGGTCTGATGAGGCCCCAAACTACTGAAGGTAATGCGGCCCTTTATACGTCCAGCTGTCCTATCTGGCTAGATGGTAATTTATGGACCTCATAGGTATCTAAAGCCATTTGCGCATGTTGCCCTGCAATCAGTCCATGCAGAATGTGGGCACCCTGTATATAGAAAGGAGCAAACCAGTGATGTTTTAAGGGAGCAGGCTAGCAGGCGGGGCCCATGACTTACATCATAGGAACCTACACAACACAAAACACTGTTGCTGGATGTAGGTTTTATTTTATTTCTTTTTAATCTTATATTTTGGAAATGTACAGTGGTACCTCGGGTTAAGAACTTAATTCATTCCGGAGGTCTGTTCTTAACCTGAAACTGTTCTTAACCTGAGGTACCACTTTAGCTAATGGGACCTCCTGCTGCCGTCGCGCCACTGCCGCACAATTTCTATTCTCATCCTGAAGCAAAGTTCTTAACCCAAGGTACTATTTCTGGGTTAGTGGAATCTGTAACCTGAAGCGTCTGTAACCCTAGGTACCACTGTACACCCACTTTTTCCCCCTTTATTTTTTGGGGGGACCTCCAAGAGAGTGTGGGACGCAGGTGGCGCTGTGGGTTAAACCACAGAGCCTAGGGCTTGCTGATCAGAAGGTCAGCGGTTCGAATCCCCCCAACGGGGTGAGCTCCCGTTGCTCAGTCCCTGCTCCTGCCAACCTAGCAGTTCGAAAGCACACCAAAGTACAAGTAGATAAATAGGTACCGCTCCGGTGGGAAGGTAAACGGCGTTTCCGTGCGCTGCTCTGGTTCGCCAGAAGCGGCTTAGTCCTGCTGGCCACATGACCCGGAAGCTGTACGCTGGCTCCCTCGGCCAGTAAAGCGAGATGAGCGCCGCAACCCCGGAGTCAGCCATGACTGGACCTAATGGTCAGGGCTCCCTTTCCCAAGAGAGTGTGGCCCTAAGCTAGAACTTGTTTAGCTTTTACTGTACGTAAATCTGGCACTGGTCCCAAAACTCACAACGTACACCTCCGTTGGATGCCCAAAACCTCTAGGGCTACGAGAGAAGGAGGGAAACTTTTTCCTGTTTGCTTTCTCCGTGCAATGCTGTGCATCATAACCTGATCCCAGAATACGGTCCCATTTAAAGACAGCTGCTGCCCCTTCTCCACCGCAGGCCCTCTGAAATGTCCCTCCAGCCTCCGCATTCCAGTCCGAAGTTTGAACTCGCCAGCTGCCCTTACTTCTGGCAGGCGGTCAAGGAAAACAACGGCGCCCCCCCCCCCCGCCCTGGCAGGGAGGCAATGCCCTTGTAAGGCCCAGTTGGAGGTCAGCAGAGACACAGGCAGAGAGAAGGAAGGGAAGGAGAGAGATCAGGAAGGAGGCAGCGAGGACCACCGTCAAGAGCATGAAATCCCTTCTGGTAAAGACCCCTCCTCTGTCTCTGCACGGCTGCTTGCTAAAAGCAGGTCACTAACCCTGGGGTGTTTGTGTGCCCTATAGCTTCCTTGCTCCTAACTCATAAGCTACTGGACTTTTGCTGGTGTTAAAAAACACTGGCGAGGCCCAAACAGGCGAAACACAGTTTCAGGGTGTTACGGAAATTACGGGTGGGGGGCACCTCTTTAAAGTTGTTAAATGTTACAAATATTATGACTGAATGTATCCTTTTGACTTGACAGCTCAGGGAAGTTACCTAGTTTTAAAAAATAATATAAAATCAACTCCTTTGCCAGTTTCCTCCATTCCAAAGCTATTTTCTCCTTGAAAAAGGACTCCAGGAAGTTCCCAGAAGTGACGATTGCTGAGCTGACTGTTGGCCAAGGAAAGCCTAATCCCATCCCCAGACTTGCCAAGGGGTCCAGACATGCAAAGGAAGTTCTATTGTACTTTGAGTGGTGGGACTTCAGAGGTGTTTGCCTAGGCTAATCTTATACCTGGGTCTTGCCCTGACATGTCTGTTTATGCTAATCTTGTACCAAGGACTTGTCTGGACATGTTTGCCAAGGTTAAACTAGTGCATGGGTCTGCAACCTTTAAGACAAAAAGAGCCACTTGGACCCATTTCCGAAGAAAAAAACAAACTGGGAGCCGCAAAACCATTGCGACATTTAAAACAAATATATCTCCGGAGCCGCGATCTGACAGCGGGCGGGAAGGTGACGTCGGGACGGTGCGTGACTAACGCACGCACCGCCCCCATGCGACGTCACAGCAAGTACAGTGCCCGCCACAGTGGGGAGTGTCAGGGCGCACAATGCACCTCCTCCCCTCGCTAGTATCCGCCCCGGAGCCGCGGCAAAGGTGTAAAAGAGCCACATGCCGCTCCGGAGCCGCGGGTTGCAGACCCCTGAACTAGTGTAACCCCTGTCTGTAAAGGTAAAGCGACCCCTGACCATTAGGTCCAGTCGTGGCCGACTCTGGAGTTGCGGCGCTCATCTCGCTTTATTGGTCGAGGGAGCCGGCGCACAGCTTCTGGGTCATGTGGCCAGCATGACTAAGCCGCTTCTGGCGAACCAGAGCAGAACACGGAAACGCCGTTTACCTTCCCGCCGGAGTGGTACCTATTTATCTACTTGCACTTTGACGTGCTTTCAAACTGCTAGGTTGGCAGGAGCTGAGACCGAGCAACAGGAGGTCACCCCGTCGCGGGGATTCAAACCACCGACCTTCTTATCAGCAAGTCCTAGGCTCTGTGGTTTAACCCACAGCGCCACCTGCGTCCCAACCCCTGTCTACCCCTCCCCTTTTGTGATATGTCAGTGTTGCAGCAATGATGCTGTACGAACTGTATTCTGGGATATGGTGGGGAAGTTTTAAAAGTCCTTGTCACCCCATCCTCGGGGTTCAAAATTCCTCTTTGAACCTGTTGCGCAGTAAACTTTGGTCTACAGCTATTTGGTGGCTGCACTCCTTCCTTTATTCCGCAGGGACCCACGGGCTCTGCCTGATCTTCTGGGGGACTGAGCAGCCTTGGACCTAGATTTTTCCATAACAAGGGGGATAGCCTTGCCAGTTTGTTGCAGAGTCCCCTTAAAAAGATATATATATTGAAGCAGAAAGTTCTGTGTGTGATACAGCCTACTTGGTCAGATGCATGGGGTGAAAAACAGGCATGATTATATTCCACCCTTTCCCTGCTCCTATATCTTTTTTTTCTCCCCCCCCCCATTATATTTTATTAAGTTTCAACTTTTGTTTGTAAGTTTCGACATTTTTAAACCTCTACAGTCAAAAGGCAAATTCGTCTCTTATTTTGTTGACTTTCCGCCCCGTTCTCCACAGAGTTTTCGTTCCTCTCCTTCGGCTGAACCCTAACTTCTGTCTATTAAATCCATCAAACCGCAATATTATAATCTCGTTGCTCCTGTCGCTCAGAACTCCAATCCTGCTCGTGAGCTCATCAAATATAATATAATATTTCTTTGGATACCCTGAAAAAGGCATCAATTCTTCCATAAAACACTTTTAATTCCCTACTCCTATATCTCATGGTGTTCTGCTCTTCCTGTCCGTCGCTGGGAAGTTCACAACAGCTTTCGGAGGAGAGTGACTCACCAGTTTAGTTACATCAATTTATTTATCAATTGCATTTATAATCAACCTCTTCCTCCTCAATGAATCCCCACAAGAACCCTGGGATACAGGTCAGGTTGAGAGGCAGTTTCTGGCTCAAGGTCACCCAGTTGAACTTCATAGCCGAGTGGGTTATTTCAAGTCCTTCCTGGCAGGGCTATTCATTTCATTTATTTCATAAGATTTCTCTT